CGTAATTTTAATTTCTCTCCTTATAGGCAGTCCCAGGCTGGAGTAGTCCAGGGCATACAAAGCCTCTGAGATCATATCTGAAGCCTATAGGCTGTGTTTTGCAAAGGTCAGGCCACTGTGTGAGAAGAAGGCTTTAGCTCGTCCCGTCACACAGTCGCTGGGCTGTGCTGGGTGTCTTTTCCCCGGCTCTGGCAGTGGCCACGTTTTCAGAACCGCGGCCCCGAAACGTGAGCGTATCTCAGCAGATCTTGAAAGAGGCTCTTCTGCGAGTTTTCTTTCTCAGTTGGCTTTTGAAAGATGTGCAGTCGTGCGACTACATCGTGTACCTTCCCCGAGTAATGACCACAACTGGTCCCCAAATGTTTACCAGCACAAGGATGCCTACATGCAGGAAGTGGGAAATGGGGGTGGGTCTGGTAGTTACCCTTGATGTGGTCAATCTGCCACTGACCTTGTTTGGGGAAGGGGAAGGGGAGGATGTGAAAATGAGACTGCGCTTTAATCTCTCGTGTGCATTTTATCTCCCCTCCGACTTTCTGAAGCAGTTTCATCTATTAGAGCCAGCTCCCTTCCCTCCTTCTTCCCCTTACAATTACAGCTCTCGCAGGCGCAGGGAGAACAGCAGCAGCAGCAGCAGCTGAGGCTGAGGCGCGCCGGCTTGTTGTTGAGCTGAAGTGGTGATAGCATCAAAGGAAATGGATGGGGATTTCTGAGATCAGAGCTGTTAGGGCCATTCATGATTTGTTGCCAGGCTGAAAGCTGCTGCAGAGAGAGCTGCCTAAGAAATGCTGATTAATAAGGTAATTGAGGTTTTCTATGAGCGAGAAGGAAAAAATGAAAATGTGACTAAAAATGTTCTTTTTTGAAATGAACAACAGTTTGAGATTGCACATTCCAGACAATAGCAGCTACTGCTATGAAAGATTTTTTATAAAAGAGCAGAAAACTGCTGGTTGAGTAGGGCGTCTTTTTATGTTTCTCTGTTAAGGAGGAAGGTCAGAAGGTCAATCTATATATTTCTTAATAGCAGAGATTCTTTTATGATTCTGACTTCGGCACACATTCTTAGCAATTTGTTTCTGTCTCTTCTTTCTTGATAAACTCACTTTTATTCCAGATCAGACACCGCTAGGCTAGCCCTGCGTGCCAGCGAAATCCCTTCTGCACCACTGTAGTTCTGGGATCAGGCTGCTCTCAGCTTCGCTGAAACACCTGGAGCTAATTTCGGGCTAGCCTCAGAGTGTGCCACGGAGTTATTTGAAGTCCGTGCACTGCACGGGCTGCACTCGCCTCCCCTGGCCCTGGGGAGAGATCTGTACTGACCTGTGATATTGCCATTCTCCTGTTGTCCTGATGGATATTTCACCTCATCTGATCTGATCTGTTCTCTTCTTCTCCTCTGGCCCCAAAAGCATTTTCAGTTCCTTGAAAGAGAGATTTGCTTTTCTCCAGCTTTCCTTCACATTAAGAAGATCAGGCTGTGAAGGAAATGCATCAACCTTTTTTTTTCTTTTTTTTTTCTTTTTTTTTCTTGCCCCCTCCTTTCTTTTTTCAAGCTAACAGGGAAGTGAAAAGCTCTGAAACAGCTGCCTCTCAAAGTGAGACTATTTTTTGGTAAAATAATCACCTTCAGTATGACTACATTGTTTTTCTGTTCTATGCGGTGTGACTCAGCATCAGTTAATTAACCCAATCAAGTAGGCCGGATTTCTCTCCTTTAATGAATGGTTCTTCCTACTTCAGAGCCTTCCTAGACCTCGTTTTGGATGTGCCTCGGTTTTACTGTGTATATCCAATTACGTTTACATCCCGCAGCCCAGTGCTCGGGCCACCTCTCTTGTGGAATTACGCAGGGGTGGAAGTTAAGCCAGGACACTCGCTTGCGAGCAGTTGCCCTACTTATGTCTGCTGCCACGAGCCCTCCTGTGCTAGAGCCTTCGGAAGGTCTTTACCCAGATATACTATTCTCGGCATCGCAGGCCAAAAATGGCAAGTAAATCCTTTTCGCCCGACTTTTTATCAGGGGGAGGAGGAGCAGGTTAAGGGAAAGGGATATGTGTGTACACCTGTCAGAGAGACTGGCAGGCATCCGGCTGCGTAAAACGTGCTCTTTCCTCCTTTCTCCCTCCTGTAAAGAAATACATAACGTCCCGATCGCCCCGAAATACAAGCATGTGTTTGTTCAGAAGAGGAATGTGAAACGAAGTGTTGGGGAAGCAGTGAGAAATATGTTTTCAGACATGATACAAGAAGGCGAGGTAGGAGAGTTGCCTCTTGGAGAACCAGCTCGTGTTTGCAGTGGGCTATGGACGGCTATAAATGGAGCTGTGCATCATTGTTCCTCTGGGCTGGAGGATTCCTCACTGAAGGGACAGGACCACTGAAGGAAGTAAGGCATCTGGTTGTTGTGTAATGAGAAGCAGGAATGCTCTTAATAATAAACAAACAGGACATTGTATGCCATCATCACAGGATGTCCTTCCTTCAGCCAACATGCTGACTTGGGTCGGAGGAAGAAATGGGGTTCAGGGTCCGCTAATTACTATTCCACCCCTCCTTCCACGGCCAGCATGCTCCCAGATCATCCCTTGCCTGTTGCCTTTCACAAGGACCAGTGCTGATTTTTATTTTTATTTTTATTTTCGTTTTACCACACTGCAAAAGAGGTGTCAAGGTTTAAAATGCCGCCTGCTTTGCCTTTCTCTCCCGAGCTTCCCTGTTGTTCTGTTGGGAGAGGGAGATTTTATTTAAAGGAAGAAACAGAGGGGTTTTTCCTCATTCCTTTCACAAACGTTGATTAGAAGGAGGGTCTAGAAAGGCATAAAATCAAAACAACGAGGCTCCTGGATTGGGCATATCAAAACTCTGTAATCTCTCCGATTTGACAGTAGGGGCTTTAAAGCAGCGTTTCAACCCCCTGCTCTGTAACCTGGAAGGCATTTGGAGGTGCAATTTTTAGAGCATCCTGTATACTTAAAGGGGAGGGGTGGGGGTGAAACGGGGACCTTTGGGGCTGTGGGATTCAAACAGCACGGAAAAAAAAATGAATGTCTGGCAGTAAAAGGGGTGTCCCTGCGTGGGGAAGGGGTCCCCGTGTGGGGAAGGGGTCCCCTGGTAGCAAAAGCAGCGGCGGCTCCCGGCTCTCCCCAGCCGTTCGGTCCTGCTGGCCGGGCAAAAAAGAGCAAAAAACCTCCGAAAAGGGGGCAAAAGGAGCAAAAGGAGCCGCGTTTGCCCGGCTCGGCGCCGAGGGCTGGGGCTGCAGGTATCGCCCCACCTCCCGCGGGCGGCCGGCGGCGCACCCGGCGGGCGGCTGATTGGGAAGCCGGGGCAGGGAGGGAAGGGGAGCGGGGCTGCCGAGAGCTTTGCTGGCGCACTCAGCCCTCCAGTGTTTCCGAGAGGCAAAAGCAACGAGCGCGGCGGGCAGCACCTGTCTGCGGCGGGAGGAGGAGCGGCAGGGAGCGGAGGCGCTAGGTGTGAGTCAGTCTCCCGGGGACCCAGCGGCTGGAAGGAAGGAGAAATGTTTACTCGGTAGATATGAGCCAGGCTCGCCTCGGACGGGGGGCTTCTGCTGGGAAACGCTCGCCGACTCAGCCCCGGTAAGGAGCGCGATGCCGCCGAGCCGCCGCCGGGCTCGGCCCTTCCCCGAGCGGGGGGACCGCAGGGGACCGGGGGCTGGGGGAGCGGCTCCCCGCCGGGACGAGCCCGCTCCCGGCTCCCCGAGCTCGGCGCCGGCTCCCCGGGGGTTTTCTCCCGGAGCCGTCCCCGTCTCGGCTCGCTGCGAGGCCGCCGGTGCTGTCCCCGGGGGGGCAGCGCCCCCGGCCCCCTCCAGCCGGTGCCCGGCGCCCCCCAGCCCCCGGCTCGGGGCTTTGGGAGCTCCTCGCCCCGCCGTGCCTCCTGCCGGGAATTTGGCTGCCTTTGCCGAGAAGGAAAAAACCAAAAACAAAACAAAAAGGACAGGAAAAAGAAGGGAAGAGCTCGCCTGGCCGGCTGCTCGCCGTTCCCGGCGCAGGCACGGAGTTTGGTCCTTTATTTACCTTGCGGATACAGCGTCCTGCTACCTGCCCGGCGCTGGGCGCCCTCCCGCAGCTTTTGCCCCGGACAGAAAGGGGCAGGGGAGGAGGACTGGAAGGAGGAATTGGTCTTGCGAGGAATCCTACTGAGTGCTTTGAGCGAGTAATTCTCGGAGGCGCCGTCAAAATCAAAAGGGATACAAGAATTTTTTTTTTTTCTATTTTTTTCCAAATTCCCCCCCTGCTCCTTTTTTTTTCTTTTTTTTTTTTAATTTTTCTTTTTTCTTTTTTTTTTTTTTTTTTTTTGGTCCCCGGGAATATGTTGCAGCGCTTTGTGAAGGGCTGTCGCTGCAGTGATGCTGGCAGGATGTCGGCTCTCTCAGCCTCCCATGCCAAAGGATAAGGGGACGTCAGGAGGAGGAGGAGGGGGGGGGGGGGGGGGGCAGGTTGTTTTGAAAGTTGTTTGTGTGTTGAAAGCCGGTGGGAAAGTTCAGGCTTCCCCATTTGGAAAAGGCAAGGCTGGGTTCCGCTCTTCCAACATGCGCTTTCCATTTTTAGCTTCATTCAGACGCAGACAGCAGCTCCTTTCCTCTTCCTCTCCTTGTTTGTGACACTTTTCTGAGGCAGCCTTTCCACAGGCAACTAAGTGGTCTCGCGGCCATGACCCCGCGTTTTCTTCGGCATGGAGCACTTTTTTTTCCTCTGAGGCATTAAGGAGAGGGTCTGAAAAAGGTAAAGCAGTTGTCAGCCTGGGGATTTTTTCCTCTTTGTTTTCGTTCCCTCCTCGTTATTACCGAGGCTGGCATTTTAAGGCGCTGCTTCAGTCAGAGCAGCTTAGTTTACACTGCTTTTTGGCTATTACTCAACTGTACCAACTATCCTGCGTACGCTTTTAAAGTGTCACAGACTACTGTATTAGTCACGCTGTCTCAACGGAAACCACAACACTGAAGGACAATGAGGATTAAAGGCTGTTTTCTTATTTTCCAGGCTGCTACACAGTGTAGCTCGGACGCTGTGAGTTTCAAGAATCTGGTGAAAGGGAGAGAGTGGACAATGAAAATGGACATGGAGGATGCTGACATGACTCTGTGGACGGAAGCCGATTTTGAAGAGAAGTGCACGTACATTGTAAACGACCACCCATGGGATCCCAGCGCCGACGGAGGCACCCTAACTCAGGCAGAGGCTTCCTTGCCAAGGAACTTGACTTTCAAATACGCATCGAACTGCAAAGAGGTAAGCGGCAATGCTCTGGGGAAGGTCGGAGTCAGACGAGCCAAATCTCAGCGCTTTGGAAAGCGGGCACTCACCCCGGTGCCACTCTTTAACGCACACACGCACCAGCACCACCAAATGCTGCCCACCAACTTTTCAGACAGGACCCTCATATTGCTTTTAAGAACCTGCAAACTGGTCATCTGTCCTGTAGTATGCTCATTGGAACTCGCAGCCAGCCTGTCCCTCAAGCCGGGTCTGTACCAATGCGCAAACAGTTAAATTTTCACACAATTTGAGCAGCATCTGAATAAGCATATTTAAACTGTGGGGCAGTTCTCTGTGCCAATTTCTAGACTGCTGTTTGCCAGGACCATTCATTGCCTCTGGCTCAGAGATTAAAGTGCCTCGGTTGTCCAATAAATAGCTTTAAAAAAAAAAGAAAAAAGTAGAGGGAAAAAAAAAAAACAAATTCCTGGAAATGTGTTTAATTATTTCTTTTTGTTTTCCCTTTGGTTATGAAATTGCTTTATTCTTTTCATGAGCTTGCTGTGTTCCCGACTTCCTAAATTCTTAAAAACACCGGCATATCGATTAAGGAAGTGATGGTAGAACTGCAGCAAGTTTGACAGCAGGATGGCCGTAGCTTAAATTAACTTGTGTTTATCTGGGCCAGTATCTTCACTGGTAGCTGGCCGTGCGAGTCCGTCCTATCCTCGTCCCTGGAGTGGGTACATTCTTTGTTGTTGTTTCAGAAGGGCTGGAAAGAAATGAGCCCGGATGAGCAATTTGGTTTTGTGTTTACTCCTTCATATAGAGTAGCTATTATAGCTAGGTGTGATGTTCGGCAGGGTAATAACCCAAGGGACAACCCTTCATTTCTCCTTGTGCTGAGACCTGTGGTATAGCAGCTATTACCTGTGCTTCTACTTTGGCTAAACACACTGACCACAGAGCTGAAAAGAAGAGGTACACTCATCCGTGCCTATCAAATGCTTCCTTCCAGAGCAGGTACTTGTTTAATCCTGCAGACAGAAATAGGGCCGGACCCCCGGCTGGAGGGTATTGGCACCTCGGAATTTAGCTTGGCAGCGCCTCGTACGATGCCTGGAAGTTTTGCTAAGAGGTTAAAGCTAAATTCCCATGTAAACTCACTCTTCTCTTCGCATCTGCCCTGCCCTGCCCCGCAGAACTTGGCAGAGGGAGGACGCGCTCCCGAAAAAAAAGAAAAAAAAAGTGCGAACCTTGTTTTGCCTTATTGCATCGGGAGACAGGCCTTACTTTTGGGGGGAGAGAAAGTCAGGGCTCTGCGTACGATGCAGAGAGAGCTCTGGGCTGTCCGGGCAGCCATCCGGGGACGGGCTGGCTGTTTAGGCTACTGGCTCTGGTTCTGCTGCCGCGGCAGCGGGTGTCCGAGGAGCTTTCAAAATTCCCAGTGGTGTGTTTGGAAACACCAGCGTGCAATTTCCTCGCGCTGTAGTGCAGCTCACTGAATCGGGGTGGGAGGATTGCTAGGATCTCCGTAAAGGAGGTGGGGGGAAAGAAAAGTCGTTGAGAGATTCCTACTTCTGCCTTGTCAAGCGTGACCCGTACAGCTCCTTGCTAGTGGGAGTCTGAATATAGGACATCCTCCTTTTGTTCTCCCAAGTTCCCCGTGCTCATTTATTTGCACCAAGTAGCACCTACCGTCAGGAGCAATAGCAACTTCTGAGCCCTGGCGATTTCTAATATAGCCCTGAAAGAAAGGGCCTTTCTTTTTTCTTTTTTTTTTAATGTGAAAGCTCCCATGCTGTAAATGTATGGACAGGTCACTCCTCTACTGCTTGTCTGTGGAGTGAGATAGCTGCAAATGGCATAACCCGCTTGCCTTCTCGCAACTCCCGACCTGAAGTGTGATTTTTTTCTATCTGCCTTACAAGTTTGATTTTGTTCAGTGGGATTGGGACTGGCTGTGTGTTGCCCTTACACACTGGCATTTGTGGGGTCAGAGAGGGAGCCTGATCCTGGTTTTGACCTTATGGAAAACCACTGGCGTCCTGACAGCCCGATAGGGTGCTTTTTTTTCACTCGCAATAGGATGAGGTAAGACTTTGGGGGATGCATGCGTGCGTGTTTGCCAGTGGATTTCAGATGTGAGCTGTCTTCATTGTTAACTTTCGGGAGAACTGTGGCTTCATCTGGCTGAGAGTTTTAAATGCTGAGTCAATTTATTGACAAAAACATATATAATACATCGCTTGTGAAATGCTAAATGCTGTCATGATTAGATCACGGACTGCTAAGGCTGTCATGATTAGCACAGTATCTCCATTTGGAGTAGGAAAAGTACTGCGTGCCTGCCTAGGAGGGAGGAAGTACAACTGCTGTTGTTTGGGGAGGGTTGCTTTCTGTGTTTCTTTCCCTTGCATGCTTTGTCAAGCAAGTAGCGCCTCTGTAAAGGTTTACTGAATTTGCAAGGGAGTCCGTGACACATCATACTCTTGTTTATTCTTGGATCTTGATCGGGGATTTTTCTGAAGGACGCATTTTTCATTATGAGTTCACAGTATGTGTCAGCATTTTGAAAAATGAATTACTACTGCTTGTAACATTTCAGGCGGCTAGATTTACACGAAGGCATTTATTTATTTCTATGCGTGAATTATGTATGTTTGCTTCAGTTCTCACAGTTGACAAAAAATGAGGAAACACGGGGCCAAAATCACACTCTATCAGGCCATCCGTGAATAATCCTTTTCATGTGAACATTTAGAAGCTTTTTTTTTGGATAATTTTTCCCTTTAGTCTCGGTCCTTAGAGGGCAAACAGCCCTTCTGGACACCAAGGGCCAGTTATTCTGCTGTCTCGAATACTGCTAGTGCCTCATCCCGGTCCGTGAGTTTGACAGGGAGAAACCTATCTCGGCAAACCCATGACTTGTTGCATTTCTCTGATAAGGGATGGACGCTGAATTCTGAAGCGGTGATTTGGAACTGTTGCCAAGTGTACCCGTCTGACCTCTGAGACTTGCTCTCGTGCACTGCTTTTCTTTTATTTTTTTAATATACAATCAGAGAGGAAGCAGTCTGGAAACATTTCCTCTCATGGCATCCCTTTTAGAAAAGTGCTAGCTGAGTGAAGGGGTTGAATTTATGTGGGCTTATGCAACTGTAGATCTCATAGTGAAGAAAAATCTGTGTTGTTCCAGGGCACACGATGGCCTGCCCTGATTTACATTTGGAAAATACTGATAGTTCACAGTGTGCTGAAGCCAGTAAGGTTTATTTCGCTCTTTTGTTCTTGTTATTTTTAGAGCAATTTATTGGCCCCATTGCAAAACATCCTCCTCTTTCAGAATTCATAGGAGTCGTTGTTTACTTCCAGTGCCCTCGCTCCACACAAAGATGTAGGAGCGTTGGTCTCTTAAAGTGCTTTTTAATACCAAATTCAGACTCAGACCCGCTCTCCCTCGTCCGGGAACTGTGGGCTGGTTGGGATGCGCGCTGCAACCCATGCAACCCACCCTGCTGATGAAGATAGATATGCTCAGATGGCAGGGAGGTCGGCGCTGCCCATAAAGCATCCCTGGAAGGGCTCCCATGGGGTCGGACGAAGCACGGGAGCATCAAAACGTCTCAGCAGGAGGGCTGGTGGCCGGCGCGGCAGCTCGGCCCCCGGCGCTGCATTAGGACCCTGGTCAGTTCCAGGGACGCAGGCCGTCCCTGGGCTGGGTGCTCCCCGCCACGCAGCCCCCGTGCCCCCGTGTACTGGGCTCCTTCCCTGCAGCCCCCCATCAGGGTGCAGCCACTGTTTCTTCCCACCGTGGGCACCCCCTTGGCAGGGTGGGTCCCCGCTGCGCATCCCCATCCCGCAGTGCCGGGAGCTGGTGTTAAACGTGGTGATGCTCGGGTTTGATTTAACCTTCGTGGTACAACTGATGTTGTAGTGACAGGAGAGGAGTGTCAGAGGCCCGCTTGCGGGAGTGCTACAAGTTTTTAAGTGGCTGTAGCTTGAGGAGAGAGGGGATAAGTGTTTGTAGGTAGAGAAGATGGTGTTCTGCAAATAGCATCGTGCTCCCTTCCTGCATGGCTGAGGCACGGCACGCTCGCAGAGGCTGCATAAGGGCAGAAGGCTTTTAATTGTGCAGGGAGAGCTCAGGCCACGCTCCTCTGTGGTTCCCTGCCCTGAGACTGTTTCACAAGGTCTCATCAGAGAGGGAGAAATGTGCTGAAGGACACCTGGTGGACACAAGTCTGAAATGCCTCTCTGCGATGGCTTGCCGGCAGCCGGGAGCCAGCTTCCCCTCGGGCTTGATGTGGGGCTCCTTCACTGCTGAGCCTACAGCCCTTGGTGGCTCTGTACTAAGGGGGCTCCTGTTGAGCACCCCCTGAAGCCACCACAGTGGGGCAGGAGCCCCTTTTGGCAGTGCAGGGTGTCTGATGGTGGCGTGGAGCCCTGTGCTAGCTTGGCACTGATGGTGCCCCTCTCCTGGAGGGTAGCCCTGCTTGAACAGAGTGGCTGAGCTCCTGGGGACACAGCAGAGGCCAAGAATCACTGATCAGAAAGCAACCCTTGGGTAAAACTCAGCTGGGCAGCTTTAGACCAGTTTAACAAAGCGCCCAGAACATCTTCTGCCAAAACACCCTTCCCATAGGTACGGGGCGAGAAGCTGCCTTCATGTTCTGCTGCACCGGGGGAGAAGCAAACGCTGTATCTAAGGTGGATATCAAAAAGTATCTGCTGTGTCAGAGCCACCAGTGCACAGCGAGTGTTTCAAGTTGACTAGTTCAAGGAGTGACTTCTAGAGATTCTGAGAATTTCATTAAAGTCATTTTAATTAAGGGCAAGATATTTTAAAACCGTGAAAAGAGACTCAAGCTACCCCGCAGTCAAACTGGTAGGGTGTGCTGTAGCTTGGTTGTGAACTTTTCTTGAGAGGCCAGATGGATGTAAATGAAGATATATGGGGAAGATGAGAAGAACATCTGCCTTTTTCAGCTCTCTATGAGAAATGCACAAGCAAGACAAAAATAAAACCGAGCCACTGAGCTTGTTTCAGCTTGTGGTAGGTGTAGGAAAATTTCTGGAAGTCCCTTTTCTCTCTCTTCAGTCCAGATGCAGAGATCAATGGAGCATTTAACTACCTCTACTGTTGACGTTATTTTTTTGGTGTGGTGTTCTGAAACACATGTTAAAACACAGACAGGCACAAACAACAACCACACCACATACACCCAGCAATCTGTTTCCGGGTGGATTATCTCCTTGATGCTGTGGCTGTTATTCGTTCCCTTTATTTTGACATCTAACGTGAAATTATGCTGGGCACTAGTTGTTTACTGGAATTTTTAACCAGTACACAGGCAAGTATTTCTCTGTCTCTCCTCCTCTCTCACACCGAAGGTGAGACAACAGAAGAAAATGTAGCATGAGAAAATCACAAGGCTCAGCTAATTTGTGAAGTGGTGCCTACAGCCCAAGGTTTTTACTGTCCTTTGCCGTGAAGGGCTGTTACAAAGAAAATAAAAGCTCACAGAAGTGAGCTATCTGCAGGGTTTGATGCCTGCTAATCTGCTTTGGTAAGAACCTTGATTCCTTGCCGAGTACAGACAGCAGTAATCCCCATTCTCAGTGTTTATCAACAACCTCTGCTATTATGGTCTTGTTCTGAGATCCTAGTGAGTGAAAAGGCAATTTTTAAGTGGCAAGATGTGTGAAGGGGACACGATTGATACATTTTGCCATAAAAGTTTTGTTACAATACTGAATTAATGGGCTTTTTACCTTCCTTTTTCACCCTGTCTGAGAAGGAGGATCAATCTTGCAAAGTCTTGGTTTTTTTTGGTTTACAGAATTGCTGGTTTTTAAACATTCTTTGGCTATATTAAATTTAAGAAGATTGCTGAGGAACAGAGGGAGACAAAACCAATAACTCAGCAGTGTTTTGCAAAGGGTTACTCTAAGGCACGTTCTTCTGAATAATGATGAATTGCTTCCTGATTTGTGGTCAGTGACTTTTTTTGGTATAATTACTGTCAAGAAGGAAGCTGAACAACTAGAGTACATTTCTTAGACCTAGCATAGTGGAGCATTTTCATCAAAACCCTTACGCCTTTTTGACCAAACCCACTTGACATGTGTTACCGGAACTGCTGCCTCCTTTTTATAAAAGAGGGTGATCTGTGAGTACATGTCCCAAAGCCATTTCGTATTCTGTTTTGTATGCCACCGCTGATGAGAGGATTGTAGGTCTTTTTTTTTTTTTTTTTTGTTCTCCTTTTAGCTATCAGGAAGGGTACAGAGTGAAAGGGAGGGGGGGTGGGTGAGGTTTCATTTTGACCTGGAGGGACAGTCATTCCAATTCCTAACTTAGCAGAATAGTTGGCTGTGGTAGCTGTGAAGTGATTGATAGTTCTTGAATATTTTTGTTTGCTGAAACTACACTTTTGGGGGTTGCCTTTGATAGGAAAAATAACTGTTGAAGGTATTTGACAGTCTGTACATTTTTTTTATTGTTTCTTCTTGTAGCTGTATTTTCACAAAACAATTTTTTCAGGCTGTATTAATCTTTTTCTTCTATATGCTCGGTAAGATGTTAGTATCTAAGAAACCTGCTCATTATCATGTACAATGTGGTTTTTAAGTATTTCTGTTTTGCTGAGCTGTCACTAAAAATTGTTGCATTAGTTGCTTAACCTTCTAACTTTGGGGGGCAGGGGAGAGGAAGGAAAAAATTTCGATTTCTGCTGGCAATGGACTGACCCTGTGCTGCTCTTCTTGTAGGTCACTGGAGTTATAAGCAAAGAGTACATCCCAAAAGGAACGCGCTTTGGACCCCTGGTAGGAGAGATCTATACCAGCGATACGGTTCCCAAGAATGCGAACAGAAAATACTTTTGGCGGGTAAGCAGGAAAAAACAGCACCATGTTGTTGCAGTAAGCAGATCACTAAATGAGTACAGCTGAAAAGCTGGGTCACTTCCTGCTTCAGACCTGCGTGAATGCAGGGGGCAACTTCTGTATGCTGCTGCCATGCACGAGCAGAGTGAATGTGGTGAGCTGAGTAAAAGCCTGGCTGTCTTGGATATAGGGGCTCTGTGGGTGGAGAGAGCAGGGGAGACTCCCAGCCCTTCCTGGCTGTGTCCCCTGAAACAGATCGGTGCTTGATAGGATAAAGAAATAGTTCTGCTGCTGGCTGTAGGGGCAGGTTATTTTGCATTTCTTCACATGTAATGTTCACATGATAGAAAGTCATTCTTGTTTATGCAAATGTCATTGCACCTAATTTTTCCAGCTATTAAGAAGCTGTGAAAGTACTTTCATATTTTTTTTTTTTTCTGGAATCACAGAATATTGTATAGCATTTTTTCCTGGGTGTTGAATAGAACTACTGTAACACAGAGGTGGTGATCTTCAGCATGTATCATTCAAGTTGTAGGCTTTTCTAGTATGCCTCAGAAAGTGTTAAAAGAGCAGCCCATGGATCTTAGCGAAGAGAAAATTCATTAATGGCAAACAAACATTAGAGGTGGTGCCTAATTCCTACTTTGCATTATAAGCTGGAAGAGTGCAACAGCCAACTTGTTTTGGCTTGGGAATTCTGTGCTGGGGAACATGCTTCCAGTTTATCAATTAACATAATCCTCAGTTTCCTTTGCAGACCCATTATTAATTGTTAGAGAACATTCCTTCAGCCCCGTCTTCTCCCATGGATTTGTTTTGCTGCCTTCTAGCCATTTAGGTTGTGTCTAAATCAGTGGATTTGGGAGTACATCCAAGCCTCTGTGCCCAGGTGCCTGCCTGCCGTAGCAACATCCCAACCTCACATCCAGGTGAAACCCAGGGCAAGCACCAGCATTCCCCACACCCCGCTCTTCCTACCTAATTGCATCATTTTGGTTTTCTCAGATCGTCCTCGTGCGATGTAATACAGCATTGCACAGGCAGTAATTTGCATGAGTATTCTTGCAAAGCAGGCAGCTGTTTTCGCATTCATAAGGCTATGAAATTTTTCTTTTAGCTGAGGTTTTTGGGAGCTTGTGTCTGACGTTGAAAAGGCTTGGTGTGCTCCCTAGCCCTGCCAGTGGTACTGCAGACCCTGAGGAGAGGGGCTGCTAGCCATCTTGCTTCATCCATACCTGGCAGCGAGAAACATGACATCATTTTCATGATGTGATTTTAAGCCTGAATGCGGGGGGATCCTCGGGAATAATATCCTAGGAGCCATCTAAGCGTCATTACATCCCCTGTTGTAACCTCTTGATTGACGCAAGGCACGCTGCTGCACCAGAGATTAATTCTTTCCTACGGGTCTGAAGCAGGCCTGTATATGGAAAGGAAAATGTGGGAGATGACCTCTTCCCGCCTGTCACCAAAGGAAGGCACGCGGGGCTCGCTGGTGGGAGCGGGAAGACCCACGGCACACGCAGGGGGACGCTCAAGGCGAGCGAGCCGCCCGGGGCCGGCGTCATTTCTGGGAACCGCGCTGTGACTCAGCACATCTGCCCTCGTCTTCCCCAGAAGGGGTGGGAGCCACTGGGGCAGCGGGGGCGTCCGCCGACCCTCGCCGGGCCCAATCTGCCATCCCGTCCCATCCCATCCCCAGTTTCGGGGAGCGGCCGGGGCTGGCGTCGAGCGCCACAGCCCCGCGCCGTTCCTGGAAGTTTGCGAGCGGAGCAACCTGAAGGCTCCTCTTGAGACAGCAGAAATTCACCCGGCTCCCTTCCATTTTCTCATAACAAACACACCGCAAAATCTCTCGCAGGCCGCTTTGATGAGGCCACATGTATTTCCCCCTTCTCGGTTTACAGGAAGTTACTCTTAAAGAAAGTGATTCTGGTGTTTACGGCCCGCGTTAAAGGGCAAGGCCGCCTCGCCCCTCTGCGCCCGCGGCTGTCAGGGAGGCGAGGAGAGGGCCCGGCGGACCCCGTCCCGGCAGATCCCAGTGCAGGCATAAAGGCTGCCCAGTGTTTTCCTCCCTGAGATAAGCTGTATCTCCCCTTCCGAAAGGCATTTCCTGCCCGGGGAGGCTCGTCTTTGGGCAGGCTGCTCCCTTTCGTTCGCCTGGTCATTTAGTTGGTGAAACTGGGGAAGCCCATTTCATCCAGCGAGGAGCCACTTCTCCCCGAGAGCAAGGGATGTGTCCTTAACAGTCATGTCTCCTGGAGTGTTTTTTTTTTTTTTTTTCTTTCTTAATACTTCTCTTATTTTCCCTCTTTAAGAAACAGTGGCTTCTCCCACTGGTTGGGACTTTCTCCCCCAAGCTGCTGAGCAGTGTTTAGCTCCACATTTTCGTTCCTCTCCGTGGAACAAGCCAGAGCGTGTCCCTCGATAGGAAAAGTGACTTCTCATCGACTGGCCCCTTTCCAGGTCTTCGCTAAGTTATGGCAGGTGAAGTTCATCTCTGCCTCGCCCAGCCTTTCTACAAAAGGGCTACAGTCCAACTATGAGCAAGTGTTGCTTTAGGACTCTGGGGGGGGTGGAGGATGTTTGCATAGTTTAAACCTTTGGGCGGGGGTGGTAGGAAACTGCAAGTACAGAGGCCATAGAAAAAGGCGAGAAAGACTCTGACGTAGCACAGCCAGTCAGTCTTATACACAGGTGACTCAAAGCATTAATGCAAGCACGCACTCAGACCTGCAGTCATTAGCATCACCCACTTGTTCATCATAGCACCAGGAAAAGGACTCTAAGGCAGATTGTTCACGCAGGGAGAGTACTTTGTGTTTCAGATTTTGTGTCTCATTTGTCCACACTAGCCGAGACGCACAAGATGAGTAGAAATGGAAAAGGTAGCTGTGTACTTCTTGCCTTTGAATAAGCATTTCTTTTCTTAACACAGAGGATATCATACTTGGAATAGGAAGAAACCCAGCTTGAATTCTTACTTCAGAAATATCTGCTCTTTTTTTTTTTCTTTAAAAAAAAAAACTTATCATTTTTCCACTCTGGACTCTGTGCACACACGTTGTATATCATGCATATATATAATCACAGGCACTTCCTCTCTGTTCCAGATCTATTCAAGTGGTGAGCTTCACCACTTCATTGATGGATTTAACGAGGACAAGAGCAACTGGATGCGTTATGTAAACCCCGGCTACTCCGTTCAGGAACAGAACTTGGCAGCCTGTCAGAATGGAATGAACATCTACTTCTACACTATCAAGCCCATCCCTGCCAACCAAGAGCTGCTTGTGTGGTATTGCCGAGACTTTGCAGAGAGGCTGCACTATCCCTCCTCCAGAGAGCTGACAATGATGAACCTCAGTAAGTGGATTACAGTATAAACAAAGAATGCTAGTAATGTCTCTTCTGCCTATATGATCTAATAATAAGTTGTATAATTACACAGCTGCATCATCTGTTGTGTCACAGTAGGTAGCTTGGAGTGGAAAAGAGGAATTAAAAAAAAAAAAAGAAAGAAGAGCACAACAGAATGGATCTCTGTGCTTGTTCAAATTTAAACAGATTATCAAGAATCTCAACAGCTACTTTTTTATATTCTGTGTGTTATCTGATGAAATTCTGGACAGACAACCTGAAAATATCCTCTCCCTTCAGAGCTGTAGATGTTGGTTCACATGCAGACTTTTAAGTCCAGATCTTCTAGCACACTGGGCAGAAATCTGCCTTGATAGCATATACTAAAGGCTTTCCAGTTGTTTTTCCAAAGTGCTGCCCTTACTGTACAAGGAAGTGGCCATGTGACGTGATGCTGTCTAGGTGTCTGACAAAAGATATGTTGACTATATAATGTTCTTCAGGTCTCGTATCTAAGGTTACTTATCTTCTGGGAGCAAACCTCATGTGGTCTTCTCATCTGGTTACTCATTTTTTAAGATCAGAAAATACTTCTGTCCCCATTTCTTGGCTGCATACTGCAGCTTTCATTTTCTGTTCAAAAATAATAGCAGGGGGGAAGAGGTATTTCCAGGAGTTTATCTCTGGGTTCCGCTGTGGTTTCTGACCATTTCCAGCATCATTGCTCTACTCAAAGCATTAATCACTGCATAGCATCTCACCCAGAGCCCCTTGAAGAAAGGGACTGATTCCTGCTGACTTCATATCCAATTCTTAGGCTTCCTTGCCTCCTGTTAGCTGCTCTGAGATCCAGCAGAGCATTCTTTTGTCCTTCTGCCAGCACCTACGCTGAAATTTGAAGCAAAAACTGCAAGCAGATTTTATATATATATATGAAGGGCTCTTGGCTGTTATTTGGCAACAAATAATGGGTTATAAAATATCAGTGTTACTTTGGGGGTCATTAGAGCTGAAATGTAACCCTGCATCATGAAAATGATGTCACAGATTGAAATTAAGCAAAAGGACATCTGTCTTCCGTGAATGTCTCCCTTTCACCAGGTTTTGGTCTTCCTCTTTCCCTACTAAATGTAATACATTATTGAAGAAAATTTATTTTTTTATAGCAGAGGGAAGAGGAAGAGGGATGTCCTATGCTTCTATATTCCCCGTTCAAGACATATCTCACTGATTCTGTCATCTTTGCATGTGTCATTTTGACACTCACTGTGTGGTTTTATTTTCTGATACGATGAACTGTTGGCCTTATATTGGGGCTTGCAGGTGGGACAAGTCAACAGTGTTAAAGGTTCCCATGGACAAGGAGTTTGCAAAGATCTAGCCAGAAATGTTTGAACACTAGTAGGGTGGCTGTACAAATACAGACACAGTTTACTGCATTGGCTGTTACCTTAAGTTACCTTGCAGGAATAGTGAGGAATGTATTTGCAAAATGTCAACAAATTACTCAGTTACTCTTACTCAGGTCAAAACTGGGGCTGACTGGACATGTGCAGAACATCCCATTCTAATAAAAGTAGATTTAATATGTGGATTTGAAGAGAGTGTATCTTAAGCAACAATTGTGTAGTTCAGCTTTAACATTAGAAAGGGCACTCTTTCCAGACATTGAGGTTAAAGTATCCCTTCTTCTTTTTGAAGATAATGCTGTTTAAACCACTTAGATATTTTATGTTAACCTTCCGTGTAAAGAAAATAGCAGTTCAGAAAAATGAGCAACAGTTCTTCAGCTTTTTAAGCATCTTCCACTATTAGCAGTAGCTCTCACTTTTTTATCCTTTGACTTTGTGACAAACATGTTCAGGCCTGAGGCCTACAGTTAGGCAAGAAACCCTTCAAGTACCAGAAGGATTGAGGATTCTTAATGTTTCGGTTCCCTTTCTTGGAAAGTATGGAAAAAAATCCATAGTTCTCTCAAAGATGCTTATTCACTGGTGGGTCTGTAGCCGCAGCACAGGAGGGGGTGTTTTTCTAGCATTAATACTGGAACCAGATGAATTTAAAGGAAATGTCAGCACTGTGCAGCTCTCTTCTTCCCCTTCCTCACAGGCCACTTCTTCTAGTTAAATCTAAAATTAGCAAGCATCCCACTGCTTCTTCAGCCTCTCTTTCTAGCACCAATTTGGCCCAGGCCTCCTGCATTCACCTATGACTAAAATGCAGAAAGCTTGTCCCTGAACTGTTAACACCCTGCACTGGCTGCAGATGTGGGGCCTTTGCCCCTTCAAAACGCCTTAACACAGTCTTTGAGGGCAAGATATTGCTCGGGGGGATCCTTCCACCAGCCACCTCCTGAGGAAGGCCTTCTCCAGCCAAAGAAATCAGTGATAATTCAGTGGAGGATAATTCACAGGAGGTTTTAGAGGAGCTGCGCCTTGGCTGGTTACCTGGCCATGGCACATGAGAGGCTGCTTAGGACACAGACTGATGGAGAACTCCCAGTGTCACCTCAGTTTTACTGACTATAAGCAGGTGCTTTAGGCACCTCAGGGGTTTTGGGATCACAGTCCTGACCTTCAGCACCTCTGATCCTCTCTAAACACCTGAGCGGAATGGGCCTCTGGGGAAAAATGTATCAGAGAATTTCTCTGGCTTTATTTCCTGTAATTAGTGGCCTCAAAAATGAGAGAACTACCACTTTAGAGCATAAATATATTTACACATCCACATATAACATCTACTTGCCTCTGTAACAGCAAACTTTCAAATTAAAGGTAACTTCTCTAGCGTTAGTTCATTTGCACCGTAGAAGGAAAGCATCCAGATCCAAGACAGCAATTAGGCATGAACTTAGTTACGGGTTTAACCATGTCCTCTGTGTTTTCTTGAATTGAGGCCTTTGACCCAGTCCTTTAGACGCTGAAGCACACACCTACCTGCATGGCCATGATTAGCTCCGAGTGGAGCTACGTAACCTCGAGTAGATGCTAAAGTGCCTGCAAGGGTTGCACAACAGAGGTAGAAGCAAGACTCCAGTCTGTCCTGGGGGAAGAAACTGAGTCTCATTTCAACACATTCCCTTTTCCTTTCTGCCTGTTTTGAGACTACTCATGTTATTTTCTATTAAAGTTTGAGAACTTCAGACATGGTGATGTTGTGCAGTAAATGGTTTTAAGTGTGATGGCAAGATTTCTGTGTCCTGCTGGCCAAAAAATTAGTCTTTGATAAGTGTGCTTAATGCCATTCCAGCAGGCCATTAGATCAACCTTTCGTCTGTGATAGGCATTTGGATTGATAAACAGACCAAGGAAATTTGTTTCTAGCATTTCATGCCTACTTATCATAACAGCATTATTTTGGGAAGGAGGGTGGAGAGGGCAATAGTGTTTTTTTATTTCTAAAAACAAAATACAATTGCATTGACTCAGGACATGACTATTTGATAATAATGTTCACGTATTGCAATCATATGATGCAACTTCCTGCTATTCATGTCATGTTTGTCTCATCAGTCAAGCACAGGCAGGTGACATCTTATTTTGGTCAAGCTTCAGAAAGAAGTTTGAGTTCAGGGAAGATAATTTGCATATTTAGGAAGCATTTGGCAATTTTTTGTTTCGTGAACTGTTTTAGTGAGGTCTTACCTAATCTTCTGTATTCTGTGAAGGTTAACTTTTTAATGCTTGGTTTTAAAATGTGATCTACATGTATTCTTGCGTTCTTTACGCTGGCCCTCATAAATTTGTCGTTAGCTAAAGCACACCCTTCGCTTTCCCTTTTGTTTATGGTCAGTTTCACTTTCTGGTTTTAAAGCTTTTCTGTTTGGGTTGAGAGGAAACATCTGCATTTGTTTAAAAAGTGCCTACTGGAATCTTCAAAAGGGCTGAGGAAAATGATTTTTAAATGATATAAAAGGTTGTCTTTGCAAAACCTGAAGTTGACTTAATACTGAGGATTACTTGAAGGCTCCTTTAAAGTCCTTCTTTGAGCAAAATGTTTTCAAAGGCATGTCACACTGCCTTGGACACATTTAGAAAACAGATGATCAAATTGTAGACTTCTAAATGTTGGTCTCCATTCTCATTTTGAGTGGAAACACTCTTTGTTTTGCCTACTTCACAACTTCGAGGTTCTCTTTCTACTAGCAAAAGAGGTGCTTAATTTAGATCGAAAATGTGAATCGGCATAATTAACCTTCACCACTCAAAGTGTTCAGTACCATTTCACTCCTGAAATGACTATTGAAATTACTGTCTGCCTACAACCGTTTTTCAAGTTTTTAGAAAAAACAGATCATTGTTTTTATGAAGCCTTTCTCAGGCTACAGCTAGGAGCTCAAGAAATGAGCAAAACCTACAGCGCTGCGGCCGTCTGTGACTGGAACACCCACATTGGAGTGACTTCAGGCAGCCCCTCCGCTCACGTTTTATTAATACTTAAAAGTAACAGGAGTTCTGTCCCTTTTCCTCTCGCACGCACTCACGAATCTCAGATCTGAGCAAATAATCTGTTGACCTCAGTGAGAAGTGGATCAGGCTGCTAAAGAGGCACGTCTGTTGGGTTTTTCCCCCCCAGATCAGTAACTTGCAAATGCAACTGCACTATTCTTGTTTTGTCATGAACCTCTTTTCTGTGTGCCTGCCTGACCACAGAAACTAGACAGATCTTGGAAGAGTGTGTGCCTATATTTATTATATATGTGTGTGTTGGGAGGGAGGGGGGGTGGAGAGAGATGCATGTTAGGAGAGAGACAGAGACATTGTGATCAGTAAGAGCTTAAATCTAAAATCACAAGTTAAGAAAAAAAAAAAAAAAAGAAAGAAAAGAAGGAAAAAAAAAAAGAAACATTTATAAGAAATAAATCTCTCTAACTTTGAAGTATGTCTCCTTTAAGAGCAACAAGAAAGGTCGTAAACCTCTCAATCAGTTTCAGCCCTGGTTTAAATCCACGTTCAGCATCAAACATCAGAACGTCTCCCTGGCCGCCGACATTACCTTTGCTTATTTTACGTGGTGCTGACACACTTGTTTATATTTTGATCTCTCTGGTGTTCCCAAGTCTTTCTTGTGCTCAGGTAATAGGGGAAAAAGTCAAGAGGAGATTCACGGAGCAAAGATAACTTGCAAGCTAAAGGGGGCTGTCACAGTTAGACTTGAAAAATAATCTCTAAATATTGCGATTTCTGTCTGCACGTGGAAATGAATGAGGGAAAGCTTTTCTGGGAAATCTGAAGGGAAAGAAAGAGCCATTATCTTCAGTCTGCCCAGTGGGGACGTCAGGCGGGCAGCTGCGCACAGAAAGTTGTGTTCTCCATGTGAGCTTCCTCTCTGTCACTCAGAGGCTCGCACCGGCACATCAGGCACGTACGTCCCCACCCTCGGCTCTACCCTTGTGACAGTGAGAGCGAGCCGTTCCTCCAGCTCAGGCGTCTGGGTTTCTCTATCACTTTCCAGCAGCGCTGGCACTTCTCCTTCCTCTTCCCCTCCCCCGCGATTTATTTATTTTTTTTCCTGTAAAAAAGAAAAGTGTCAATTTGAGCTTCCTGCTTGACAGACCCCACAGAGAAACCAATACGGGCCTGATAAGGTGGTATTTATCTCTTTATTCTGCTGCGAGGCTTCACAAGTCCGCCCCTCCCTCTCCCCCCCCAGCTTTCAATACTTCCCAATCCCGATACTTCCCGTTGCTGATAATGTCACTGGGAATGTTTGCTCAGAGATGCTGGTGTGGTGACAGGCAGCTGATAAGAAGGTGTAGATAACGTTATCCACACTGCCGTTGCAGAGCTTCTTAGACCTAGTAGGACCTAGCTGTCATACCCTAAAATCTGAGCAGGCATTTAGAAAATTAGTTACTAGTCCATGGGTACAGACAAAATTGCTAAAGAAAGCAGATGGTTTCTAATGCCAGACAACGACCTGTTGTAGGTTTGCTTGTGAAACGGCTCTGAATTAAACTTTAACATCAAGAAAAGTAATTGGGAAGCTATCTGCACACTTGTGGGTGTACGTGCTTGCTGTGCGACACACCCTATATTTTATCATAAATATTTTAACTGGCCATATTTATGTTCAATTGCATCTCGTCGCAACTCGAAAATAGGCAAAGTGCCTGCCTATCTCAAACTGAATTTGCTTGCTGTAAGTCTGTTTGGAGAGAGAAAAAAAAAAAAAAAAGATGCTACTGTAAAAGCGGGTTGCTGTGAGCAGGAGCATGCTTTTGAAAGCAGCTGTTTTCTTGGATACGTTTAATAAATGGCTGTTTCTTTGCCTTATAGGGTAATGTTGCCAAATGATAGATTCCGTGAGGGTAGTGAATAGTGAAGCAAAGAATCTGCGTTGAAAGCGGCGTGGTCATTGCCTTTTCCCATCTTCCTCACGGGGTTTAGCCGGTCCTCCCAAAAATTAGAAACAACTGTTTCTCACCCCAGTTAGCGAAGTAAGAACAGTCAGTCACAGAAGTAGAAGTTCGGCTAAAGGGCTGCAATGCTTTCAAGTCACATACCTTCGGCATTGACTTGTACCTCCTGTTGGAAAACTTTGCACATGAGCTAACCACAAATGCGAAACCTTCTCGGAGTTTTTCCCCTATAATAAAACATCTTACAAGTCATCATTTCAAGATTATATAACTATTAACTTCGGGAGATTAGATAAAAGCAGAATTCTTTTTCTATCCTTCAGTGTTCTGTTTGTATATTATTATGTCCAGATAACAAGGTAGAGTCTCTGACTACAAATAAACAGTGTATGTGCTGAACAGAGCCAAATGATGATAGCTTCTATTTCCTTCTAAATGCGTGTTTCTTTTCCTTTTTTCTTTTTAAAGTACATTTCAACTTAAGCTGGAGCCGACCAGTCTTGCTTTCTTTTGCTTTGCTTCAGCATTTTTTTTTATAAAGTACAGCTGTAAGCAGAGGAGTTTTGCATAGACTGAATGCCACAGAAATCTGCAGTAAATAGTCTGCTTTGTTGTAGATGTTCCTAAGCAGTATATTTAATGAGTAATGATCTGTTTACTGATGGAGAATACCTTCTCTTTGAAGAAGGCTTTCATCCTAGCCAGCCATGGTTTTTTTGGTACTGTAAGTAATTGAACTGGCTGGTGAAGTGACTGCTGCGGTTTGGCAAAAGCTGATTTGTCATGCCTTGTTATTTCAGTAAGGAACATTTCTGGGAGCTCGAGTTCTGTAAAGTCCTTCTGGTAAACCTGTATTGTGAACAAATGCTCGTTACCGCATTTATTAGAAATACAGCTTAAAGAGATATCCAGCAGGGAAGCTAGTCAAATTTAAGGGGAAAGAAAGGTGAAATCAGTTTGCAAAGAGGAGACTGTCACTCTGCAAATGAATCATCATCTGGATCTGTACGTACTGCTGATGTCCCTTAAATTAGCAATGCTTTTTATTAACACTTCATATTATCAGGCATTTCTTTATAGAGAAATTTATTTTTGGTGAGTTAAATGATTTCTCCTCTCTGACAGTGGCCCGTCCTTCCCACTAAACTTGTAGGAGTTAGCCTGTGTTTTGAAAAGAGATAATGATGGTGACTTATCTAAATAATCATTATCGTGTCTCTCTCTTTCAGCACAAACACACGTTAATCCAAAGCAGCACAGTGCTGATAAAGATGAACTCTATCAGAAAAGCGTCCCAAAGAAGGAGCACAGCGTGAAAGAAATCCTGAAAATGGAATCCAATCCTCCAAAAGGAAAAGACTTCTTCCAGACCAACATTTCACCAGTTACTCCAGAAAAAGACTTGGATGACTTGCGTAAGAACTATAGCCCAGAGAGGTGTTTCTTCCCTCGAGTTGTCTACCCAATCCGACCTCACATTCCAGAAGACTATCTGAAAGCTTCCTTAGCGTATGGGATGGACAGACCCAGCTACGTTACTCACTCACCCATCCAGTCATCTACTACACCAAGTCCTTCTGGGAGGAGCAGCCCAGACCAAAGTTTAAAAAGTTCAAGCCCTCACAGCAGTCCAGGGGTCACAGTCTCACCTCTGGCACCTACGTCCCAGGAGCACAGAGAGTCGTACTCTTACTTGAATGGATCCTACGGCTCAGAGGGATTGGGGTCTTATCCTGGATACGCACCCCCCAGCCACCTCCCGTCTGCCTTTCTACCATCCTATAACCCCCACTACCCCAAATTTCTGTTACCTCCATTCAATATGAGCTGTAATAACCTGAGCGCTTTGAACAATATCAATGGCATCAACAATTTCAATCTCTTCCCGCGGATGTATCCTCTCTATGGCAACCTACTCAGCGGAGGTAGCCTTTCCCACCACATGTTGAACCCCGCCACGCTCCCCAGTTCACTGCCCAGCGAAGGAGGCCGTCGTTTGCTGCAGCCTGATCATCCGAGAGACTTCCTCATACCAGCACCTAACAGTGCCTTCTCTATCACGGGAGCTGCTGCCAGCATGAAGGACAAGCCGTGCAGCCCCACCAGCGGGTCACCCACAGCTGGTACAGCAGCCAGTTCGGAACACATAATGCAACCTAAACCTACCTCAGTGGTGTTGGCCGCCACCGGCGGTGAAGAAGCCATGAATCTCATTAAAAGTAAGAGGAATGTGACTGGTTACAAAACCCTCCCATACCCACTGAAGAAGCAGAACGGGAAGATCAAGTACGAATGCAACGTTTGCTCCAAGACCTTTGGCCAGCTCTCCAATCTGAAGGTAGGCAGTGGAGAATAAGGCACACAAGCCTCCTTGGAAGGCTCTGATTGCTCCCTTTACGTTCTCTGGGAAAAGCAGGGATCTAATTAACTAGATAACAGTGCATCTTGGCAATGGGAGGCTTCTGCTAACTTTAGGAAACATCTAAAAGTACTTTCATTGCGGGACTGGCAACTGCAAATCGTTAATTGCTTTCTTTCTCCCTAGGTGCACCTCCGAGTACACAGCGGAGAGAGACCATTTAAATGCCAGACCTGCAATAAGGGCTTCACCCAGCTGGCTCACCTCCAGAAGCACTATCTGGTACACACAGGAGAAAAACCCCACGAGTGTCAGGTATGTAACACACCACGGAGACAACTTCCCTTGGAAGCCGAAGGGGTGGCAGGGCTCGTGCCCTCCTTGCCCTGTGTGCACAACGCACCCAGTGGGCTGCCCAGGATTCAAATCCATGCCACAGCTGTTTCCAGCCCTGCTGCTCCAGTGTCTGTGAGACAGCGCAGTTGCCTTTAGCCTGCTAGGGCAGCATCCATCCACCTGATAACAGTCTTGCCATCAGCCATACTTGAAATGCTCTTCAGCAATATTTAAATAAAACAGGTGGGGATTTTTTTTGCCCCCCGGTGAGAAAGTGTGAAGATATAAAAAGCCACAGCTTCATCCTGCTGTCTCGTCCTAGGTGTCTGTGATTTAAACATAAAATCCCCTCCCACTCACTCACTGTTTCTCTGCCGCCCCCCATTAGGTTTGTCACAAGCGGTTCAGCAGCACCAGCAATCTCAAAACCCACCTGCGGCTCCACTCTGGAGAGAAGCCTTACCAGTGCAAGCTGTGCCCAGCCAAATTCACCCAGTTTGTGCACCTGAAGCTGCACAAGCGTCTCCACACCCGGGAACGTCCCCATAAATGCATCCACTGCCACAAGAGCTACATTCACCTCTGCAGCCTCCAGGTCCATCTGAAAGGCAACTGCCCGGTTGCCCCTGCCTCCGGCCTCTCGATGGAGGACCTGAATCGAATCAACGAGGAAATCGAGAAGTTCGACATCAGTGACAATGCCGACAAGTTGGAAGAAATGGAGGACAATATCGACTTAACATCAGTTGTGGAGAAGGATATACTGACCATGCTCAGAAGGGAAATGGAAGGAGCTAATCTCAAAGTATCTTTACAGAGGAACCTGGGAAATGGACTTATCTCCTCAGGATGCAACCTTTACGAGTCTTCAGATATGTCAATTATGAAGTTGCCTCACGGTCACCCACTACCTCTGTTACCTGTAAAGGTCAAGCAAGAAACAGTTGAACCAATGGACCCTTAAGACTTTTTGGCAAAGTGATTTTTTTTTATTTATGACTTGGCAAGTCAGGGTGCCTGTAGCAATTGCTTGTACATAGTTTCAATGCTGCAAAGCAATCTTGGCTTACAGTAGTTTCCCTACGCTCTACAGCTGAAAGAAGGAACTCCAAAGTTACTGTTTTCTCAGGGCATAAAAAGAGGCAAAGGACTGTGCGTTGCCTCGCCAGTTACTAAAAGACAATCATCTATCCATAATTATTTTTTCAATGATAGTACTTCATAATTTATTATGCAATTTATCATTCTAAAAGCAATAATTAGAAAAATGTTTACAATGACTGGAAAATTCATTGTAATTTTTACTTTAAATGTTTTTATTTTTTGTTTTATGGCCATTCTTTGTAGATATTTTTTCTGCACATCTGTTTTAAGAACCTAAGATTGGGGTTTCAGTAACCGTGTTTTATGTACCAATGTCTTTTAAACAAATGTGGTTTTTTGCATTGCCAAAGTTGGACATTTGACATACAGAATCCTAGATCAGTTGGTTTGAAAAAAAAATGCTGTGTACTTTTATGTGCAAATCACCCCATTGGGATTGAAAAAGAAAAAAAAAAAGAGTAAGAAAAGGGTAGCAGCAAGCAGAGAAGAAACTGGTGCCCCAGCCTCTCTGAGGATGGGAGAGAGATTCTTCTACCTGCAGCTCTACCCGGAACAGATGTGGCACAGCAAACACCTACCTGCCATGGACAATACCACAGGTTTTTAGAAAACAGCTATAGCCCCACACCTCGGCATGTAACTTTATGACCAAAGGAATGCATCAGCTTAAAGTGGCTCTTCCAAAATTAAATATCACTTACATTCTCCTATTCCAACAGCAGTTTAAAAGCAAACACACCATTATTCTTAATATTCTGCCTAAAAGGAGTTTTTGGCAGATTTCTTTCTTCTCTCTCTCTCTCTCTTTTTTTTTTTTTTTTTTTTTTTTTTTTTTTTTGGCCAGAGCCTTCCAGGGATAAAAAAAATAAAAATAAATAATGGTCAGATTCCCTGAGAATTAAGGGGTTTGGTTTTACTTGTGTTTTCCTCTCCCACTTTGCCTGGGTAGAAGTGGGGAACAAAGTCCTTTTCTGGCACATACATTTTTTTTCTTTCTTCCTGTACAACTCAGATTTTTCTCAGTATTTGTGTTTGTACATTTTGTGGTTAATTTAATTAAAGAAGAAAAGGGCATTGCAAAGTTGTTGAACAACAATTACCTCAGTGCTTGTGTCCAGTGGTGCAGACGTTGCTGTTTTATCTAAATGCTTTGCTACTTTAGAGAAGAAACCAAAATGTGCACAGGGAAAGATAGAATGCACGTCCTTTTATCTTTTTGTTTTGCTAAGCCCAAAGATGATATGGTGACATTTGAGGTGTAGCAAAGAACACATGTATATTTATAGATATATTTATACCACTATACTATATATGTATATGTATATATATTTATACCACTTAAGTTGTGAGCCAAACCATGTAATAAAACTTATTTTTCATCTAAGTGTGAAAATCAAATGTTATCCAGTTTCGCATATTACCAGTGACCTCAAAACCAGAAGGTTGTACTAAGGCATTTATCACTTGCAAGTGCACATGCACAATTGTCCATGTGAAGCCTGAACTTGCAAACGCCTGATGTGAAAACCATCACTCACACGGGGAGTCTCAGCAAATTCAGTGGGAAATACCATGTCTGCAGGACCCCGGGGTCTTTGGTCCCCTGCTCTCCTGGCAGTGTATACTGGGGGGAAGAGGCGGGTGGTCAGTGAACAAGCAGCCAGAAAACTTAACCAAAAGAACTTGAAAAGAAGCCAAATACTGCCCATGGGTGGTGTAAGTACAGAACAGAGTGAAGGATAGGCTGAGTTAGTGGGGATGAGCCCCTAGTCTCGTTTTGCCCTGCCGTTAACGAGTTGCATGGTCAACTCACGTAAACCTAAGTAGCGTTATTACAGTCTTCCCCTCCAGTTGTATCTTTTTGTCTGTTTATATTCTTAGGATTTTTAAGGTCTCCCGTTTCATCAGTCCAGGATTTGGTGATTTTTTTTTTTCCCCATCAAAGTATTTTGATGCCTTCTGTTTAAAACAATCCTGACATACACGTCTCTTTACACAGCTTTTGAAGGACTACAGTTCATTACATTTCCACTCCTACAACTTGTGAGGCTGACATCTTTTAAATGTAGCAATAGTTCATAAATATAGTACTTACTTGTAGGATAAACCAAAGTATCACTACTCTGTCACTGGACACACACTTTTCCTATATTTGCCTGTAGTGCTTTCTTGTATTTGATACAAATTTTACAAGAATTTATATGCATCAGCTTTAAGAATTGTTACTTCTCTTTACTGTTTCCCCCTTCCCTTAGAAGTTTTACATGTGAATGTAGCAACAATCAACAGTGTTTTGTTTTTTTTTTTTTTGTCTCTCTTAAGAAAGACTCTGACCAAAGTTAACAGGCTTTTTACTTTGCTAGAACAACAAACTATCATATGTTTACGTATTGGTTTACATCATTATTTATGTGCAAATTGTCAAATGTAAATTAAATATAAGTGTTCATTGCTTTACTGATGCTTCCCTTGTCTTCAATCTCTCTGCACTGACTGCGTGCACAGCTTCGTTCCAGGGCGCCTTCCCCTCCTAGCCGCAAACACACTCCGGGCTGATGGCGATGATGTCTCCAACAATGCTGACTTCTTGCCTTTGTGGGCTCTGATTTTCCATGATTGAAAGCTGCAGACAACAATGCCAGAGCTAAACACCCTGGTTTGTTAATTATAGCACTCTCTTCAGTTGTAGCCAATACCTTAATACATACATATATATATAAAAAATTTGTCAGCGTTTCAATGGAAATACTTGAATGCTATCTGCCTCTCAGATATATGAATAGGGTTCTCATTTACATTTTTCCAAATGATTGTCATTTCTGGCCTGAAACTGTAACCACTGGGACCACAATGACACACTCAAAATGTCAGCATGAGACCACTTAGCCCTGTATCAGCGTGGTGGGAACAGCATTCAAAACAAATGTGGATCTGTTTTCACTGCAAGTGAGATGTGAATATGAACCAAACCTAGGAGAAGGTCAAGTGTCCTTTCCCCCCACCCCCCCAAAAAAAAAAATCAGACAAGAAGTAACAACATGCTAGGATGCCTCAGAAAGCAAACTCAACATTTGCTACTCCCATCATTTACTGTGAGATCCAAACCAGAAAGGCCATGTGCTGGCCTTCCCTACCTGAACGTTAAAGAAATAATGTGCCGTCTCATATTGAGACACTCAGCGCTGTACGATGCTTTAAAAGTATTTCACTGTCCTCTTAAAATTCATTTAAACATCTGTCTCAAGAATTTGACATCCTGCCAGCGCAGAGCTGTGGAGTTAAGAAAACCAGAGCTCCGTTGTCATAAACGTGCCAAATGCAGCATGTTATATTCCTATATTCGACAGAGCTATTGCTGTAATAATTTTTTAAAAAAACATAGGATAACCGTTACCGCCATAAATCATACTTCATTACTTGGCAAGGCGTCCGTTTGCGCTGGAGAGTTATGTCCTGGGGACACTTGTAAGCTTTAGAAGATGTTTAATAAAACACATTACATAAAAAGACAATGCACATTATAGATCGCAGCCTCGCGAGGCTGAGCACGGCAGCTGGTGCAGTTGTTTCTGGCGGACCTGTGGCCAGCTAGAAGTCACCAAAGGAGCATGATGTGACCAGAAACGTGGGGAGGGGGTCAGAAAAAGCAACGGTGACAATGTCGCAATGGCTAACTGCCTGAGTGTGAGGAGATTTGGTTGCTTTTGGTTGGGTTTGGTTGGGTTTGGTTATTTTTGGAGGAGACCCAGAAGGCCGCATGCCCCCAGAGCTGTTGGCTGAGGCAGGTGACCTTGATGTCCACCTCACTGGCATCGTCACCAAAATTTGGGGACTGAGCGTGACATGACAGTGAGAGCAGCATGCGCCACCACTTTGCCAGCCTGGCTGTCTCACACGGGACACAGGCAAACGACAGCTGAGAGCGTATCGAACGCAGCTTTAAGCAGGATCCCGCCATTCTGGCTGGTTACAAAGCCCAGTAATCCCAAATGTGGGCAATTACGTGAGGTTGAAGAAGAAAACGTGACTCACCCGCGGGGCATGAGCCCGTCCTGCTCCAGTCAGCAGCTGCGGGTACGTGGAGTCGTCCCAGCACGTGCCGGCACCGCGCTCCTTGCGGGACGGGGCCCAGGCCTTTGCTGTTGTTTAGAGGCATGACATTAGAGTGAGGGAAATAGCTTGGGCCGTAATTAAAGGCAGCCAGGAAGCACTTGGCTAATTACTGCGTGAGCCGGGGCTGAGTGGATGTGGTGCGGCCGGGGAATGTGCCCGTCACGGGGCAGGTATCCGGCAAACAGAAGCTGCAATGGGAGCCTCGGAAAAATTCGCCGACGTGTTCCAGGTGGTTGCCAAAAGGTTTCCTCCAAAAGGGCTGTCCCATCCCTTCCCACACCCGGGATCCCCGTCTGGGCCCTGGCACAGCCATGAAGCCAGGGACAGGGAGGGCTGGCAGGGGCTACACAGCTGCTTCAGCTGGGATGTGTGGAGCACAGATGGAAATTTTGGAGACCTTCGCTGTCAAGTGCTGACCAGCCCTGTCTGGTTTGTGGGACAGCAGAAAAACATGATTTTTCATCAAGGGCTTGATACTTCCCCAAAAAAATGTGAGTTTAGTTTTTTGTAAGATGCTGAAAAAAGGACATCCTACACACAGCACAGCTGCTGCTGTTCAGTTCTTACCAGCAGCATGTGGACGTGCAAACGGCACAGCTTCACATCCATCGAGGCCGTGGTCACAGTAACTGCAGTCTGTAGCTGAATACGTGGTGTTTTCAAGCATGCTGCACAACTCTACTTTCTCTCATTTTAACAGAGGTTGGGGAAGACTGCTCAGCAATTCACAGTGGTGCTGGAAGGAGAAGAGGAGGGGGACCACTGCGGCTCCCCGAGCTCTTGCTGCCCAGGTGTGTGTGATGGGCACAAAGCTTGCTTCAGAGAGATCAGAGGCTGCTTGCATCCCTGCCTTCCCCACAGCAGCCTGCAGCATGGCCAAGTGGAATGGCTCTCTGTGTAGGAAAACCCAGCACAGGGAAGACAAGATGATGCTTTCCACCTCCAGACAGCGTGGGTTTTACCAGCTTGGGTCACTCAGCTCTGCGAACTCCAGCCTGGGCAAAGGCTCACCTAGGCAAGATCTATGCTCCTGGAGCACTGTCAGTGACAATGGGGCACATTCAGGGGACAGCACACCCCTCAAAGGAGACACTACTCCCCTTGCCCTGAGAGCTGGAGGCCAGGCAGCTCCGTGCCACGTGGGTGCTGTGGCCGTCCCTCGCCTCGCTGGGTGCGCGGGGAGATGGTTGGGATGCCGAGCCACTTAGGTGGGTGTGACCAAATAGCCCCATTGAAGGGAGCCAAACCAGTATGACTTCCTTATTGTGCAATGATTAATAAGGGCCTTCAGCTCTTCTTCTTTTTTTTTTTTTCTTTCTTTCTTTTTTTTTTTTTTTCCATTAATTGTGACTAGGCAAGTCCTTGATCATTTCCTTATCCCAGTACCAAGTGAGATTCCTTACAGCATTCCAGCCCCGAAGTGGCTGCACTTTGCTGGGGAGTGAAGTGATTCGTCTCACACTGAAACCATGCACAGCGAAATAAAACACTGAAGTGCGTTAGGTCTCTCCCCCACTTCACCTATGCTGAGGGATCGACCATCATGATGTGCTGGAGGGGCCTCTGCATTGGTGCACCTCCCAGATGAGATTATGTGTTAAATCCTAACTTAAATGAACAAAGCAGAGAGGAGCTTTTGGCAGGAAGATGAGCAGGAAGGCAGAAGTCTGTTCAGGACTTATTGGGTTATAGCCTTGGTTCCCAGACAGTTTTTTTTATGGCAAACCTTTCTGCTTGAGAAGCACCCCTCTGCAATCCACAGGCACCATTTCCCTTCCCCTGTCCTTAGCCTACCTTGCGCATTCAGGCAGCATTTTTTGAAGGGCAGGTTCTGCGCATATTTACGGGCTAGTGCAAACAAAACCTGCTCTTTTTGACAAAGCCCTTTGCGGGCACCCTTCCCTCCTCTAGGCCCTTAACAAGGAGGGAAGGGTCTGGTTCTGCTGCCTGCACTGGGGCTGTGTCCGAGGTGGGGACCCACCAGGCTGGGTGGCTCCTTGCAGGGGTTTCGCTGTGCCTGCAACTGGTCACAAAAACATCACAAGCTACAAATGGGGTAGAAACTGTAATCAGGTGTGAAAGGGAGCGAGGATACATGAAAAGTGAAAATTTGCCTTTTTAATAAGCCGTTACAAGCTAGCTGAAGGTTCAGGAGGGAACTCGCGCCGGTGCTTGTAGTCATTCAGAGAGGGCTGAGTGTGTGTGTATGAGTGTGTGCGTGTGTGTTGGTTTTTATTTTATTTTTTTAACGAGACCAAAGGGTGCAGAACGAGGCTCCTTTTCTAACCTGTACTGCAGAAATTTGTGCATGTCTGTAGCTGTGGGTGTTATGTGTTTTCTACTTTGAGTGGTGAGTTTCACTTTGATTCTGCTCTCGAGAGCCACGGGGACAGTTTGCACTTGCCTTATCAATGCAGAATCCAAAGAGCTTCAGCATGCCCCGGCCTCCTGACACTGCAAACTGAGAAAAAGCGCTTCCAGCACAGCCGAGCAAGTGAGGTGATGGCCGGAGGGCTTTTTCTCACTAGAGCATCCCCCCAGACCCGCCAGAGCCCCAGTGCTCAGCCCCACTGGGCAGGGCCATACAGCACCTCCAGAGCCACAGCCTCGGCTCTGAGATGCCCAGGGGGAGTCGAGACAGGGCCTCGGGGCTCTTCTCCTACATCCCCACTGCCCCAAAACTCTGAGCACCTCCTGAGGCCCCTGGAACCAATGCCCAGCACTGAGGGTCTGGTGCGGGAGGTGCTTGCCCATCCCTGTTCCCCCTCAGGCTGGATCCCTGGACCAGTCCTGTATAAACCTGACCAAAAGCCACTGGCCAAAATTGTGCCCATGATTGGAGATGGCAGCGAGGGCAGAGCCAGGAAGGGTGGAAGGGTCCTTCGTGGCTCTTGGGAAGGGGCTCCAGTTTGGCTCCAGAGACTCGTGACCTTCACTGTGCTCACCCACACAGCTGATTTCCAAATGATGTTATCTTCACATCTCTTTACTAAAACACCCATCTTAGACTATGCACCAACATCCACGCTACCCACCCCACCACCCCCAGGTGGGCTGTGCCGCACATCCTCCATCCCTGCACCTCCTGCCCAGGGGATCCTGCATGGGCATGACCCCAGAGCTGTGAGGGTTTGTGTCCCCCAAAGTCCTTTTCCTCACAGAGAACAGCCCCACCATGTCCCCATCAGCTCCTACCCCAGGGCATGCAGCCTACCGTCCTCTGCAGCCCTTCTGGCTTGAATGTGCTGGAGGTGCTGCCCTCAACAGAAGCCCCAGGAGTCTTATCTAGGAGGATGAAGACATGCAGGATATTCCCCCCAAAATCTGCAGCCATTCCGCAGGAG